ACCTACGGATCTCACGACCGATCTAACGATCGATCTCAGTATCGATCCTACTCTGGATCTCACGATCGATCTCACGGGACACCACGGGACAGTACGGGACACCACCAGCCACCATCGGGACACCACGGCGGGATACCACTGCGGAACACCGCTGGACACCACGGGACACTTCGGGACACGACCGGACACCCACCTGGACACCACGGGACACCGCGGGACACCACGGGAGGCCACAGGACACCATCGGGACATCATCGGGACACCACGGCGGGACACGATGACGAGACATGGCGGGGCACCAATCGAGATATCACCAGGACAACATCGGGACACCAATCGAAACACCGCAAGACACCACGGGACACCACGCTACACCATCGGGACACCACGGACCCCCCGGCACCCGCCCGCCACGCGGCCGGGGGGGAGGCGGACTTCTGTCCTCGTCGCGCCCGAACCAGAGCAGGGTTCAGTCTTTTCGTCCGCCGACGCAGCTTCGCCTTGCCCGCACGCGCGAAACGAACCCAGAACTGAAACCGATTTCTCGGGGCGTTCTCCGTCACTTTTCGATATCACTTCCTCTCCTCCGATGCGTTGGGCCTCAAGATGGAGCTCAGGACGGTGGCGGCATTCGGCGATGTACCGACCAAGGATATGGGAGCTGCGCAGCAGCGATGACTGGTTGGGCCAGAGGGGTCGATGGGTAGACCCACGGCGGAGTCCTCCAGAGGGTCTCTTGCGGTCGCCCGGCGTCTACACACAGTCTTACGTGGCCCTTGCGCGTGCCTTGGGACAAGAAGGAACCCTCTCCTTGAATTGCAGTTCTATCTGGGCTGCGACTGCATATCGATGCAGGATCGAGTTTGAATTTCGATGTATAGTTCGGTTAGCTGGTCCATTCGAATGTCCACCTGCAATCGGATGTGCATTCCGATCTGCATCCTGATATGCATTTCGATGGTTGCATTTTGGAATGTCGATGCTGCGATTCGATGTGCGTGTCGTTGGCGCTTGAGATGTAAGCTCGGATTGCTCTTCCTGCGGGACAACCTCGGGACAGCCTCGGAGCAGCCGCCAACGGCGGGACAACCATGGGACAACTCACGGAGCAGCCACGGGACAATTCACGGGACCACGGGACAACCCACGGGGCAATTCATGGGACAGCCACGGGACAAACCATGTGACCCAACCATTGAACAATTACGGAACAGCCTCCAGAACCCCACGGCACCATTTGTGGGACCTTTTTGTTGGAATAACCACAGGGCAACCTACAGGTCAACCACGAGACAACCAACCCGCAACCATGGGATTACCGATTGGACAACCGACGGTACAAGACACTAGACGACCCATGGAACAAGCCAACCTCCAGAATAATCCAGTCGGCTCACGCGAGACGTGGAAACATATATATATATATATATATACACACTCATATATATATATATATATATATACACATATGTGTATATATATATATATCCAGCTGCCTGCGGCAAGTTACGCCACCATGCCAGCCCAGCCTTCTGTGAGACACCTCGTGTCCCCAGGCTTGTGAGAGCCGTGATGAGGATGATGGGGATGGTGATGGCGAGAGGAGGCGGAGGAGGAGGAGCAGGAGGAGGAGGAGGAGGAGCAGTAGGAGGAGGAAGACGAAGGCCATCACGTCTAACATCTTTCGCCTTCACTGAGGAGCTGTCATGGAGCTTATTTTGGCCGTGCCTTGGCGCCCTCTTGGGCCGCCTTAGGGCCCTCTGAGGCCGTCATGTGGCTCTCGTGGACCGTCTTGGGGCCCTGTTGATAGTATCGAGGGTGTCCGGGGGCCGTCGAAGTGTCGTCTCGGCGCCACGTGGGCAGTCGAATGTCCTCCTAGCCGTCTTGGGCCGACTTCGGGCCGCCCTGGCTGCCTCTTGGGCCATCGTCGTGTCCTCTTTGGCCATCTTGGGGCCCTCTTGGTGGCCTCCCGAGCCGCCTTAGGGCCATCTTGGAGGCTTCTTTGGGTGGTCTTGAGCTGACCTTTGCACGCCCTGAGAAAGTAAGATGTTTTCGCGGCCCAGCACTTCCGACCTGGCAGCTCATGTAAACACCGCACTAGAACAAAGTAGCCTGACAAAGGACCCAACCATATACAGCTGCGAGTGCCTCATTGTGGGTACCGCTTTCGGTGCGTGCGAGGGGTGCGCCGAAATCGGTGGCACGGACGCATGTGGACACCGCCACTGGGGCCTTCGGTGGAGCTCCCTATGGGGCCACGAAACGTTGTCATGGGCGGGGGAGACACATGCGAACTGCGCTATTGGAGCCTTTCGGTGGAGCTCTCTATGGGGCCACGAAACGCTATCACCGGTGGGGGAGGCGCATGGGAACGGCGCCTCTGGGACTTTCGGTGGAGCTCCCGATGAAGCCACGAAACATTGCCCTGGGTGGGGGAAACGCATGCGAACGGTGCCACTGGGGACTTCGGTGGAGCTCCCTATGGGGCCAGGAGACGCTGTCCTGGGTGGCGTTGACGCGTGCGGACTCTGTCACTGGGGCCTTCGGTGGAGCTCTCTATGGGCCACGACGCGCTGTCGTGGGTGGCAATGACGCATGCGGACCCTGCCAGTGGAGCCTTCGGTGGAGCTCCCTATGGGGCCACGAAGCGCTGTCCTGGGTGGCGTTGACGCATGTGGACCCTGCCACCGGAGCCTTCGGTGGAGCTCCCTATGGGGCCACGAAGCGATGTCCTGGGTGGCGTTGACGCATGCGGACCCTGCCACTGGAGCCTTCGGTGGAGCTCACTATGGGGCCACGAAGCGCTGTTTTGGGTGGAGGTGACGCATGCGAACGGTGCCACTGGGGCTTTGGTGGGGCTCTCTATGGGGCCACGAAGCGCTGTTTTGGGTGGCGTTGACGCATGCGGACCCTGCCACTGGAGCCTTCGGTGGGTCTCCATATGGGGCCACGAAGCGTTGTCTTGGGTGGCGTTGACGCATGCGGACCCTGCCACTGCAACCTTCGGCGGAGCACCCTAGTGGGCCACGAAGCGCTGTCCTGGGTGGCGTTGACGCATGCAGACCCTGCCACTGGGGCCTTCGGTGGAGCTCACTATCGGGCCACGAAACGCTGTCCTCGGTGGGCGAAACGCAAGGAGCACGGGCTTTCGGTGGAGCTCACCCTGCCACTGGTGCCTTCGGTGGAGCTTCCTCTGGGTCTGGGGCCACGAACGGTGTGAGGGGTGTGCCTACATGGGTGGCGTTGACGCATGCGGACCCTGCCACTGGAGCCTTTCGGTGGAGCTCTCTATGAGGCCACGACGCACTGTCGTGGGTGGCGTTGACGCGTGCGGACCCTGCCATTGGAGCCTTCGGTGGAGCTTCCTATGGGGCCACGAAGCGCTGTCGTGGGCGGCGTTGGCGCATGCTGACCTTGCCATTGGAGCCTTCGGTGGAGCTCCCTATGGGGCCACGAAGCGCTGTCCTGGATGGTGTTGACGCATGCGGACCCTGCCACTGGAGCTTACGGCTGAGCTCCCAATGGGGCCACGAAACGTTGTCTTGGGCGGCGTTGGCGCATGCGGACCCTTCCCCTTGAGCCTTCGGTGGAGCTCCCACTGGGGCCACGAAACGCAGACCTGCGTGGCGTTGGCGCATGCGGACCCTTCCACTGGAGCCTTCGGGGGAGCTCCCTACGGGGCCACGAAACGCTGTCCTGGGTGGTGTTGACGCATGCGTACCCTGCCACTAGAGCCTTCGGTGGAGCTCCCTCTGGGGCCACGGAGCGCTGTCTTGTGTGGCGTTGACGCATGCAGACCCTGCCACTGGAGCCTTCGGTGGAGCTCCCCATGGGGCCACGCAGCGCTGTCCTGGGTGGCGTTGACGCATGCGGGCCCTGCCCCTGGAGCCTGTGGTGGGGCTCCCTATGGGGCGAAGCGCTGTTTTGGGTGGCGTTGACGCATGCGGACCCTGCCATTGGAGCCTTCGGTGGAGCTCCCTATGGGGCCACGAAGCGCTGTCCAGGGTGGCCGTGGCGCATGCGGACCCTGCCACTGGAGCCTTCGGTGGAGCTCTCTGTGAGGCCACGACGCACTGTCGTGGGTGGCGTTGACGCGTGCGGACCCTGCCATTGGAGCCTTCGGTGGAGCTCCCTATGGGGCCACGAAGCGCTGTCCTGGGTGGCGTTGACGCATGCAGGCCCTGCCACTCGAGCCGTCGGTGGAGCCTCCTATGGGGCCACGAAGCGCTGTCCTGGGTGGCGTTGACGCATGCGGACCCTGCCACTGGAGCCTTCGGTGAAGGTCCCTACGGGGCGAAACGCTGTCCTGGGTGGCGTTGACGCATGCGGACCCTGCCACTGGGGCCTTCGGTGGAGCTCCCTATGGGGCCACGAAGCGCTGTCCAGGGTGGCGTTGACGCATGCGGACCCTGCCATTGGAGCCTTCGGTGGAGCTCCCTATGGGGCCACGAAGCGCTGTCCTGGGTGGCGTTGACGCATGCGGACCCTGCCCCTGGAGCCTGTGGTGGGGCTCCCTATAGGGCCACGAAGCGCTGTCCTGGGTGGCGTTGACGCATGCAGACCCTGCCACTGGAGCATTCGGTGGAGCTCCCTATGGAGCCACGAACCGTGTGAGGGGTGTGCCGAAGTGGGTGGGATGATGCTGACGATGACGATGACGATGACGAGGCGGATGGGAAGAGGGAGGAGGGGGAGGAGGGGAGGAGGAGGAGGAGGAGGAGGAGGAGGAGGAGGAGGAGGAGACGCGGGGCGCTGTCTTTTCGAAACGAGGACCCAACACAGGATGGTTGGGAACAAGTGGACCAGGTGAGCGTCTTCATTCTCTCCTTTCGGCCCTTGGCCAGCCGCCTGTGGCAGATCCGTACATGGATCCTGTCAGCATTGACATTCGTGTTATCCTCTGATCCTCGTTAGCACTTCTTCTGTCCTCGACGGCATCCACATCGTCCAGACCCTAACCCCAGCCAGAATTGGCGTCGCCGTCTTCGTCCCCCGGCCAGGCGCCGGATAGCCTCACATCGTGGGGGAGGATCGCATCGTGGATGCGGCAGAGGCGCGTGGCGCTGGCTGGGCAGGCGCAGCTCGCGGAGCCTCGAGCCAGGCACCCGGCCCGTGCGCGCCCTCAGCCCTTCCCGTCAAGCTTGTCGCTCGCTGCACGGCACGTTGCGCAGACAATTGGGTGATATTTTGTCGTCGAATCGGAGAGTCGTGTGCAGCCTTGGTGCTAATGAGGCCTGCGTGGTGCATCGTTCAGATCGGGAGGCCCGGGCAGCAGGTAAGGCGTGACCCGCATTTCCATGCTTTCCACTGCGAGTCGTTCCTCAGGGAGGCTTCCACATGGCAATGGTGAGTCGACATCGTTCTTCGCCAAAGTCTCATGTTCGTTGCACAAGGGGGGCTCTTGTTTCATCGCCCGGGAGTGAGGAGAGGTGGGAGCAGCAGAGGGAGAGAGCGGAGTGTGGATGGGCGCGGCCGGGCCCGGGCACGCTCTCCGCCCAGCTTGCGCGAAGAAGTACAGCCCGCGAGTCCCGCGTGGCCGGCTGGCAGCCCACTGACCCCCAGACTTGTGATTCTAATGGATCGCCCAATGACCCCGTATTATCAACCGCAGTGAGTAAGCAGTAACGGAGGGCCCCTGGGACAAGGGCAGGGCGGGAAGAGGGGAGGGGGAATAGAGTGATAGGGGAGGAGGGAGCAGATGACCATGAGCTGACGGCGTTTGCGGATTGCCCGTCGTCATGGATCGTACGTTTCTACTATGTCAGGTTGTCTCCATCACAGCCTGCGTCCACATTCACTCTGCCTCCCGTCCACAGTCGTCTGGTCGTGTCTTATTTCTTCCGCTGTCACTGCTGCCCCTTCATCTTTCTCTTTTGTTCCTTCTGCAATCCCGCCCCCCCTCCCCCCATCGTCCCCTCTCGAACCCTCGCGCCGTGTCTGGCCGCTGCCAGCCTGGCCCCCATCTCTCTCGTCGCACGTCCCTCCCCGCTCGCCCCTCTCGGCACGCTGCCGCACTGTTTTACCCCGCTTGTCGCACGTTCGCACACTGGTTTCGAAGCAACGCTTGCCTAGCGCGAGCGACCTCTTGGACACACAAAGGGCGCGCTTCCCGTGCCTGTGTTTTCGTTGCGTTTCTGTTCCCTTCCAAAATCTCATCACCCCTGGGTAAGCAAGATCGTCGCCGCATCCCCTGCGCGGCCAACCTCGCGTCCCCTCAGTGGGCTCCACTTGGTCGCGCCAGGCTGCACGCAGCCGAGGAGGGCCGCGGGCGCCGCGCCGCCGCCGTTGCTCGGTCCCCTGCTCCGCCCCCCAGCGCCGGCCGCGGTGGCAGCGGTGACGCCGCTGTGGCCCTTGCCAGGCCCAGGACGGCCTCGGCGCCCGCACCTGGGCCCACTCCCGGCGCCGATGGGCACCGCACCGCCTCCCCGGCGGAGCCGCCCTCGCCGCGCCAGCCAGAGCCACAGTCGCCTCCATTGAGACCAGCGGCGGGCGCAGGCGCCAGGAGGACCAGGCGGCAGCGCGCTCGCGGCACACTTCCCCCTAGAAGGGGGGCCCTGGCTTCAAGCTGCCCACCCCCCTCCCTTGGAAAAGGGGGGTGGAGGCTTCGAAGCTCTCCCCCCCCCCCCCCTTCACCCCCTGTTTTGGGCATGTTTTAGCTGGAGGGCCCTAGCTGAAAGGGCGGGGGGGGGGGGCTTGGAAGCTTCCACCCACCCACCCCTCCTCCCCGCTTTTCGGGGCCACGGGTCAGCCTGGGCTCCCTTTTCAAAGGGGGGTTGGCTTCCGACGCTACCCCCACCTTCCTTTTGTTTGAATTTTGTAGCTGGGGGTCCCTGGCGCAAGGGGAAGGGAGCTTGGAAGCTCCCCCCCCCTCCTTTACGCGGCCCGGGGTAAGCCCGGGCTCCCCTTTCCAAAGGGGGGGGCTTGCGAAGCTACCCCCCCCTCCCCACCTCCTGTTGGCTTTTCCAGCTGGAGGGCCCTGGCGTAAGGGGGGGGGGTACTTTCCTTCTTCGGTTTTCGGAGCCCCGTTAGTTTGCGACGTACTTGTGGTTTTCGCTGTTTCTTTTGTTTTCGGCGCCTCTTTGGTTTTCGGCGCCATTTGGGCATTTGGCGCTTCCTTGGTTCTCGGCGCCCCTTTGGTTTTTGGCGCTCCTTTTTCGGCGCTCATGTTGTTTTCGGCGCCCCGTTGGTTTGCGGCGTACTTGTGCTTTTCGATGTCTTTCTGGTTTTCGGCTTCTCTTGGGTTTTCGGCGCCAGCGCCATTTGGGCCTTCGGCGCTTCCTTGGTTTTCGGCGCCCTTTGGTTTTCGGCGCTCACGCGGTTTTCGGCGCTCATGCGATGTTCGCCTCTCCTTTGGTTTACGACGCCCATTGTGAATTTCTGCGCACCCTTTTTGGTTTTCGGCGCATCGTTGGTTTTCGGCGCCCTCTGTGTTTTCGGCGCCTTCTATATTTTCGTCGCCCTTTTAGTTTTTGGCGCCTCTTTAGTTTTCGGCGCCGTTTTGGTTTTCGGCGCTCTTTGATGTTCGTCGCATCTTTGGTTTTGGTCGCGCTTCGGCTATCTGCGCGCCTTTCGTGTTTGGCGCCCTTTGGTTTTCGACGTGCTTTTGGTTCTCAGCGCGTCTTTGGTTTTTCGGCACCGTGTTGGTCTTCGGTGTTGGTGTTCGGCGCCCCTTTGGCTGTCGGCGCCTCGTTTGTTTTCGGCGCCCCTTCGGCGATCGGTGTTCCTGCTGTCTTTAGCGCTCCATTTGTTTTCGGCGTCCTTGTTTTTTTCGATGCCTTGTCCGTCCTCGGAGATTCTGTTGTTTTCGGCGCTCCTTTCGTTGTCGGCGCCATTTTGGTTCTCGGCGCCATTTTGTTTTTTCGGCGCCCTTTTCGTTTTCGGCGCACGGTTGGCTTTCGGCGCCCGTTTGAGTTCTCGGCGTTTCTTTTGGTTTTCGGCGCCCCGTGGGTGTTCGGCACCCGTTTGGTTTTCGGCGCCTTCTTGGTATTCGGTGTCTTGTTGGGTTTTCGACATTTTGGTTTTCGGCGCCCCGCTGGCTTTCGGAGCCTTTATTGTTTTCGGCGCTTCCTTGGTTTTCGGCGCCCCTTTGGTTTTCGGCGCTCTTTTGGTTTTCGGCGCTCATGTTGTTTTCGGCACCCTCGTGGTTTTTTGGCGCCCTCTTGAGTTCTGGCGCCCCTTTAGTTTGTCGGCGCCGTTTTGGTCTTCGGTGCCCTTTTGGGTTTCGGCGCTCCGCCGGTTTTTGGCACTGTGTTGGTTTTCGTTTTTTTAGTTTTGGCGACCATTTGGTTGTCGGCTCCCTGCTGGTTTTCGGCTCCCAAGTTCGGCGACCCTTGGGTTTTTCGCGCCCTTTTGGGTTTCGGTGCTCTCTGGTTTCCTTTTTGTGTTCGGCGCTGCTTTGGTTTTCGGCGCTCTTTGGGTTTTCGGCACCTCTTTGCTTTCTGGCGCCCCGCTGGTTTTCGGAACCTTTTTTGTTTTCGGCGCCTATCTGGTTTTCGGCGCCCCTCTGGTTTTCGGCACTGTTTTGGTTTTCGGCGCTGGTTTTCGTCGCATGTTTGATTTTCGGCGCATCTTTGGTTTTCGGCGCCGGTTTGGTTTTCGGTGCCCTTTCGGTTTGTGTTTTTTTCTGCGCCCTCTGGTTTTCGCACCCTTTCGGTTTACGGTGGCCCTTTTGGTTTTTGGCGCTCTGTTGGTTTTCGGAGGAGGTAGCTTCTGAGGGGCGGAAAAAAAAGGAAAGGTGGGGGGTTCTGCCAGGGCAGGTCCAGGGGGGATTGCTAAGGGAGGACCCCCCCCAGGGAGTGTACCACGGGCGCGCTCTCTCTCTCTCTCTCTCTCATACCTATGATGCTCGTGGGCCAGCGAGGAGCTAAACGAAGGATGAAGCGTCTGAAGCTCAAGAGCTCTGAGGGTTTTCGCCCTGGAGGCCTGGAGTGCCCCCCCAGGCATTCTGCCATGGCTTGCTGCCTAGCGCACCCTGGGCTCGCAAATAGTATCTCCCCAGGAATTCTTCGTGTATACCAAAGCTGCCATGGCAGCCAGACAGGAGTACAAGTCAGAAGAAGAGGGGAATGAGGAAGCGGGGCAATTACGGGGACGAGAATTGAGGAGGGCAGGGGAACGGGGGAGGGGGGGGGGAGGAGAAGGAGGCGGAGGAGCAGGAGCACGATCAGGATCAGGATGGCCATGAAAAAGGTGCGGCGGAAGGCAGCGAGGAGAACACGGGGGAGGGTGGAGTCAAATGGAGTGGTCCTCGCAGTCAGAGGCGTCCTCCTCGGATGCGCTGGTGCGCCGTGGTTGGCGCCACCAGTTGGCGGCCGCCTCCACGTCATCCTCGGCCAGGCCGTAGGCTGCCAAGATCTCGACCCTAGTCAGCATGCGCCAAGGCGCCCTACTCCCCGTCGGGGGTCCGTCCGCGGGCCCTGCCGCAGGTCCGCGGCCAAACGCTGGCCCCATGCAGGCGGTGAGGTCCGCCGAGGTGGGCCCCCGCAGCCTGGAGAGCGTCCACGCTCGGCACTTGCGCTGCCCTGGGTGCCGGCCGTCCGCGAGGCGCGCCCGGTGGCTGTGTAGTGCGGTCGTGGTTGCCCCGTGGCACGCGCCCGCCAGGATGCGGGCGTGTAACTATCTTGACGTTATCTGATCTCGTTGTATCCCTTACCCAGCTGAGCGTAGCTGAATGGTCCATGGTCAAAGTGCATGGGCCATTATGTGTAAAGACAAATGGGTGCAGGGCTGGCAGCAGCAGCAGCAGCAGCAGCAGCAGCAGCAGCAGCAGCAGCAGCAGCAGCAGAGAGAGCTCCAACACACATGCGGCACTTGACTTACGCACACTCTTCCAAATCTACGCTGTACATGGTAAAAGTATGTCCAAACACGCAGCTTCTCGGTTCCAGGATGAACACCACAACATATATGCTAGGTGTCGCGTCTGGCTCGGACAAAACCTGAGGACACGTCGCAGCACAATATATCGTGCATGAGCCACTATATAGCGCTTGCGACCGCAATCAACTCGGAAAAGAAGTTGGATGAGGACGGAGGACGCTACTTGCCTCTGGCTGCCCAAACTTGGCAGCGCCAAAAACAGTATCGTGAGCCCAGGCGAGGCTCGCGGATGGAGGGCAATATGACATCAAATATGGAGAAGGGCCGGGGTGGCTTGTTGCCCAGATAGAGGCTTAATCGTTAGTGCTAACAGCGGGTTTTGGCCAGTGGGCCCGTGCCTCGCTTTGTCTTCTGTCCCTGTCCTCCTCTTCTCAACAACTGTTCGCGCTCAAGTCTTTGATTGCCCCTAGCGGGACTCCGCCTGTTCAGGGTGGACAGGCGCGGCCATGGCACAGGTGCTCGCGCCTGGATTGGCTGTGGCTTGCCAGGCGTCCGTGGGCTCAGGCATGGTGTGGCGCTGCTGGAACGGCGGTGCGCTGGCCTGGCTGAGGAGGAGACAGGCGTGCTGATCGAGGGGGCAGCGCGAGGAGGGCGTTCACTTTGGCGATGAGATACACCACCCCGTTCGAATGCATCGTGGCAGCAGGGTGGCTCGACGCGGTCTCGGGTGTGGCATCTATGGAGGCTTCGCCGCTGAGGTCAGGACCGAGCACGCTCAATACGATGGTTCGGAGGGCAACGCCGACCGCGAGGGAACCCAGAGTTGCGATGCGGAGGCGAACCATGCCTCAGGTGCGGTGTCTGTGGGGAGCTGTAAGGAGGATGAGGCCGACTGCGAGGCCCCCCCCCCTGATCAGTAGAGAGCTAGAGGATTGGCTGAGGAGATGGAGGCACCCATCGAGGATGTCCCCGCTCTCGCCGCCCGTGGCAAATGGGAGGAGAAGGACGTCGCGGCAGGTTCGCCTTCATCTTCCCCCCCAGACGCCGACCCGCAGGTGACCCAGTTCCCCATGTAGTACCATGACGAATGTTTTGGCGAGGAGAAGCTCACACGGGAGGTGTAAAGGAGCCGCCCAGGACGGCAGGAGGAGGCCCCCCAGGGGGCTTTCCCGCTCCAGAGCCCGCCCAGTCAGCTCCTCCCCAGCGACGCGGTGAAGGCAGGATCCCTCCCGGTTCCGCCGAGGACCCAGGCAGGTACGGCGGATGCGAGGGTTGTTTCATTGTGGTGATGGCGAAATTCTTGAAGTGGTTTGGTTGGATGCCTGGGTGCACTCTTGGGGCCTTGCTGATGTAGTTCATACAGATCCTCGCCAGCTTGAACCATGCTTCGGGCCAGCGTCTGCTCGGACGCACTGTTGGGCGCTGGGCGCACCTCGAGCATGCAGCGGCCACCATGGCTGCGATCCTCGTCATCATGATGTTTTGGTCTGTCATCAGCGTGCTCGTTTGGATCGTTCATCGTTCATCGGACGGAGAGTTACGCCCAGGCCTGCTGCCAGGTGGCGCCCGGCTTTGCCAGAGGGGACAGGACTGGCGTGGATTTGGAATTGGCGATGGCAGGCTCTGATCATGAGGATGGGGCGTAGAAGTGGTGCAGCCCTGGCGGCTAGCATCCCTTCGCTCCGGAGTGCGTTGCATTGGAGGTCAGGGCGCGAAGAGACCAGGTGACGCCCACGGACCTCCTCGTTCGCTCGGGGGGCGCACTTGCGAGGCTGGAGCGAGGGCCGCTGTGAAGAAACTGGATAACCAGGCACGGGCAGGTGCGTCGCTTTCTGGATGTGGGAGGGCGTTCCCGCTGCCAACTCAAGTATAATTTTGGATGCCGCGCGCGACAAAAACGAGATGGCTTGGCCCACCTGCGCGCAGCAGCGGTCTGTGCCACCCCGACGGCGGCAAGCGCATTCCGCGCGTTGATTCGTCCACGACCGACGACCGCGGGAAGGCGCTGACTGCGGCCGCCCCTGCCAAACTGACCCGTGCCGGACGGGCTCGGGCAGGCGGCGGGGCTTGCAGGGCCGAGGCGCAGGAGCCGGGAACGTGGGGCGCCCAATGTGGAGGTAGCGCGCCCTAAATTCGAGACGAAGTCCGAGATGGCGGGGCGCGCAGGGCTGACCGGGTGACACGTTTTACAGGAGCTGTTTATGTGCGCATTTGCTTGGCATCAGGGCCGCGCGCTTCGCGCTCCATCTCGATTGCACCCCCATGTTGTCCGCTGTTTTGTCGACTCGAAGGGCTGCGGGCTGCAGCGAGACCAGAGCCTCTGAGCCGAGGCGCCAGGCTGCTTCGCATTCGCGCTTCGCCCAGGGCCGCGGGGCGCGAGTGGCTCGTCGCCGCGGCGCTCATCCTCGCCCAGGAGCTGCGCTATCTCCTGCCCGGGGAGGGGGCTCGCGCCCACCTCGCCGCGGGCTCCGAGGCCGGCTCGGAGGGGGGCGCGGAGGCGGAGGTCCTAGTCTTCAGGGGCACGAGCGCATTTCGGCTTCCCATGGCGCCGCAGGCAAGGTGGAAACGCGTTTCTGTCCGTCGCGCCAACCGCCCGACCGGCGCATTGACGCCGCCGGTCACGAAGGCGGCCGCAAGCATTTGGGCTCGTGAGCGGCGGTCGAAGTCGCGAAGCTGACCCAGACGATTCACGCGCGCGATGCGAAGAGGGTGCTGAATATTTCCCTGGCGACGGTTGTAAAGGGCGCCTCGGCATAGTAACGCTCCCAGGGGACCCCGGGGAGCCCGTTCGGCTTGGTCTCCAGGGCTACGTGTCCTGGCGGCTCAGCATGGCCAATTTTTTAAGCCTTGTGGCGTCGCGAGGCGTCCGATGTCAGTCTTCTCCTCCTCCTCCTCCTCCTCCTCCTCCTCCTCCTCCTCCTCCTCCTTCTCTTCCCCCTCCTGCCCCCCATCAGTGTCATCCTATTCCTTCTCCTCTTTCCTCTCCTCATCCGTCTCCTCCTCCACCTCTCCCCCCCTCATCCATATTGTTCGAGTTACCGCGTTCCCGTGCCCCGCCCGCCTCGCCCCCATGAAATATGCGGTTTCCTTCCCCCACCATCCCCCCCGCCCTTCCCGCCCCCTCCCCCGGCACTCTTGCCTTATTGTGGCCTCGTTTGCCATGTGAGCCCCTGATGAGTCCTATGGGCCCCATGTGCTTTGTGTGCCCTACGAGCCATCTAAGCCCTATGAGCCCTATGAGGCCTATGAGCCCTTATGAACCCTTATGAGCCCCATGAGCCCTATGAGCCCTATGGCCCCCTTACGAGCACAATGAGCCTTATGCGCCCTATGAGCCCTATGAGCCCCATGAGCCATAGGGGCCCTATGAGCCCTCTGAGCCCCATGAGCCCGATGACCCCGATGACCCCGATGACCCCGATGACCTCGATGAGCCCCATGAGCCCTATGAGCCCTATGAGCCATGTGAGCCCTATGAGCATTATGAGCCCCTGGAGCCCGATGAGCCCTATGAGCCTTATGAGCCCTATGGGCCCTATGAGCCCTGTGAGCCCTATGGGCCCTATGAATCATATGGGCCTTATGAGTCCTATGAGCACTATGAGCCCTATGGGCCCTATGAGCCCGATGAGCCCTATGAGCCCTCTGAGCCCTCCGAGCCCTCTGGGCCCTCTGAGCCCTCTGAGCCCTGTGAGCCCTATGAGCCTTAGAGCCGCATGAGCCCTACGAGCCCGATGGGCCCAATGAGCCCTATGGGCCCTATGAGCCCTATGAGCCCGATGAGCCTTATGGGCCCTATGATCCCTATGAGCCCTATGAGCCCTCTGAGCCCTCTGAGCCTTATGAGCCCTATGAGCCCTATGAGCCCTTTGAGCCCTATGGGCCCTGTGAGCCCTATGAGCCCTATGAGCCCTATGAGCCCTACGAGCCCTATGAGCCCGATGAGCCCCATGCGCCCTATGAGCCCTTTGAGCCCTATGAGCCCGACGAGCCCTATGAGCCCTACGACCCTTTAAAGCCCTATGAGCCCGATGAGCCCTATGAGCCCTATGAGTCCTATGTGCCCTATGAGCCTTATGAGCCCTATGAGCCCTTTGAGCCCTATGAACCCTACGAGCCCTATGAGCCCTATGAGCCCCATGAGGACTATGAGCCCTATGAGTCCCTTGAGCCCCACGAGCCCGATGATCCCTATGAGCCCTGAGAGTCCCATGAGCCCTATGAGCCCTCTGAGCACAATGAGCCCTATGACCCCTATGAGCCCTATGCGTTGCTCCTGCCTTCTTGTGGCGTCGTGTGCAATGTGGCTCGTGGCAATGATTTTGGGCGATGTTGTTTTGTTTGTTCGTTTTTGAACAGATTCAACAGATTGTTGAATATTTTGATGCGTTTCGAAAGTTTTGGCGCGTTTTCAGCTAATGCAAATGATCTTTGAAGACACTTGCGCGTTTCGAGCATTTTGATGCGTTTTCAGCAAATTCAAACGGTGTTAGAAGGTTTTCTAGGTTTTGAAGATTTTGGTGCGTTTTCAGCAGGTTCATATGGTGTTTGAAGGTTTTGGCGCGTTTTGAACATTTTGATGCGTTCTCAGCAACTTCCAATGATGTCAGAAGATTGTGTAGCGTTTTCAGCAACTTCAGATGATTTTTGAAGATTCTCTACGTTTGGAAGATTTTGGTGCGTGTTCAATAGATTCATTTTTTTAAAAATGTTGGCGCGTTTTGAACATGTTGATGCGTTTTCAGCAAATTCAAATGATTTTAGAAGATGTTGTAGCGTTTTCAGCAAATTCCGATTGTTTTTGAAGATTTTCTACGTTTTGAAGATTTTGGTGCGTTTTCAGCAGGTTCATATGGTTTTGAAGAGTTTGGCGCGTTTTGAACATTTTGGTTCGTTCTCAGCAAATTCAAATGATTTTACAAGTTGTTTGCAGCGTTTTGAAGATTTTGGTGCGTTTTCAGCAAACCCAAATGGTTTTTGAAGAGTTTGGCGCGTTTTGAACATTTTGATGCGTTTTCAGCAAATGCACATGATCTTAGACGATTGTATAGCGTTTTGCAGATTTCTGTTGTTTTTTAAGGAAGTCGATCGTTTTGTGTGTTTCGCGCCGCTCGGCAGTGCTCGGTGGTTGCTCGGTGGTTGCTCGGTGGTTGCTCGGTGGTGCTCGGTGGTTGCTCGGTGGTTGCTCGGTGGTGCTCGGTGGTTGCTCGGTGGTTGCTCGGTGGTGCTCGGTGGTTGCTCGGCGGTTGGTCGGTGGTGCTCGGCAGTTGCTCGGCGGTTCGCTGCGCGAGGTTTGCCAGGGCGAACATTTTTCGTACAACTATTAGTTGTTCAATGGGATTCCGTCAAAAATGCAACTTTCTGATCAAACGCACCGACATGCGTGGAAATCTGCAGAAATGTATTAAAATTTTCTAAATGCATGAAAACGCGTCGACATTCACGAAATGTATTAGAATTCTGCGAAATTCTTGAACACACCAAAAATTCATAGAAGTTTATCGAAATTCATGGAAATTGATCGAAATTCATTGAAACATCGAGATTCATCGAAACGCTTTGGAACGCATGGAAATGCGCGAGAACAGCTGAAAACGCATTCAGAAACCATGAGAATTCTTAATATCGAAGGAAACGCATGAATTTTTATTGTGTTTTATGGAACCTTGTGAAATTTTCCGGAAACGCATGAAAACGCATGGGGGTCATTGCTTCCCTTGAAAACTGATGGGAATCATTTGTTGCAACGAGCACGCGTGTCCTCGCATTGATCCCTCTTGGGGCAGTCCCGGAGCCCCCCCATAGAAGTTCCCCCCACAGGAGCCCCAGACAGGAAGTCCTTCACAGGAGCCCCCCATTAGAGTCCCCTTAGGAGTTTCCCATACAAGTCGCCCACAGGAGTATTCCATAAGAGTCCTCCAGATTCGAGTTCCCCGCGGGAGTCCCACCATAGGGGTCCCCGCCCCTGTCCTGTTTTAGTGATGCCGCCAAGGATCCCCTCACCGATGAACGCGGCGGCGGCCTCGGGGCCGCGGCCGCTGGCCCCTCGGGGGGCTGCGGCGCCGAGGCGCCCTTTACAAGGCGACGGTGACTTGGGCCGAGCATCCCGGCGCGTTAGCCTCGGATCGCGACTCTGCGACCATGGCGGCGGGGAGGGCCATCGCGAGGCTCGAGGTCGAAGACGAGGGCGGCGCCATCGTGGCCGACAGGAATACCGCCACCAAGAAGAATACTGAAAACAAGAAGGTGCCCCGCGGCGGGTTCGCGGCATAGGTCGCGGGCGACGTTGGGATTACCTTCGCGGCGCTGTGGGTCAAGCGGGGCGTCGAGTCGTGGAGGGCCACCTCGTTGTTTCTCTCGCGGGCGTGGCGCCTCTTGTGTTTCTGGCCGTCGTCTCGGGCAGGATGCGAGGATGTTCAGAACGCTTTCGAGTGGAAATGGGGGCGCTACGAGACAGGGGGCCTGGAGCACGTCGCCGCCTTGGTCGGGGGCGTTGGCATCGCGGCCTCGGGCTAGCTGGGCGCAGGGCCGCGAAGGCCGCTCCAAGGACTCGGGTCGGACAGGGGCTTCGACTGCAGCGGCGACGACGACGACGATCGCATGCTCGGGCCTCAGGTGGTCGACTCAGGCGAGGGGCCCTCGCCGCGTCGGGTCTGCTCGGCGCGGGCGAGCCTGCGGCGGGGGCGGCGGCTGGCTTGGCGGGGGCAAACCGTTTCCCGTGGCCCACGCGCGCCGCCGCTGGGACCGCGGGCGCCGGGGTCACAGGGCGGCGCCTCTGAGCAGGTCTCAGAGGCAAGCCCCCCCTGCGCGGCGTCAGTCGGCGACTCAAACAAACGCGGGCGCGGCCTCGGATAGGGGCCCCCGCCCCAGTCCCAGTAAGATTGGCGATGTCATTGCGAAGCTTGGTGTGTACGAGCACGCGGCGCACTAGGGCTCCGCGCGGGCGGTTATCGGGCCGGGCTCGCCAGCATGCTCGGCGGACAGTCGTGGTCCTCGGGGGGCCACTGGCCAAGGCGCCGAGCTCCAGGGGCGCATCCAGCTATTCATGGGCGAGAGCCGCAATCCGCGATGGTCCACTGCATGGCCGCCCTGGTGAAGTTCAAGAATGCAGAGATTCTGCGCGCGGGGGGTGTCAGGGCGAGGGTAGCTCCGACGGCGCTCAACAAGCCGCGCCAGTTGGGGCGCGCAGTTCGGGTCGAAATGGACGAGCGGCTGCGATCCAAGGGGCCGCAGGGGGCAACGGCCAGCACCGAGGTCATGACGTTGGCCATGGCATTGGATCGCATGATGTCGGATGGCGCCTACGACAAGTCCAACTTGAGCTGCCGCCGTCGACGGCCTCCGCAGCCGTCGACGGCCCGGTGGCGGAGCTGACTTGCCTGAGGTTCTACCCCGCCTGGGGGGCCGACGAGAACGCCGCGCGCCCGAGCGATTGGCGGCGCTTCAGGGCAGGGCGCCGGCATCTGGCGCTCCGAGGTGGACTGGGCACTCGCTGGGGAAAACCGCAGGATGGGCTGGGACCGCGAGCTCGCCAACTTGCAGGCCTGCGACGAGGTGGCGGGGAAGAGGAGGGCAACCATCGCGACGCACAAGCAACTGCAGCGCTCGAAGGGACGGGCGCGACGCGGGATGGGGCGATCGCGCACGGTTTGCGGCGGGGGGGGCCCGCGGCAAGCCCCGATCACTTGCGCGCTCGAGGCGGTTGACCGCAGCATAGGATCGCGCGGTGGGCCCTCTTGGTGCTCACTGCGATCCACTTGTCAAGGGGCTCGTCGCGCCTGGAGACAGCGGGCTGGCGATGGCCCGCCAGGGCGAGACCTTCCCCTTCGGATTGGAGGCGGGTGTTCGGCCTGCTGGAGGCG